GCTTGAGTAGATAAGTGCGACTTAACCCATAGATACTTCTTGCATGCAAGTGTATTAAACTTACATTGTGATATGTAAAAGTAATTCTAAAAATTGACACCATAGTAAACAATCAAACATTGAATATTTATATAAAAAAAACAACATGCTATAAAAATATTACTATTTTGCAAATAGAACGAGGCCAATGCTTTGGGGAAATGCCTTAGGTAACATATCATGTCAATATCTATTACCTTTTAATCTTGACAATGAATTTGTGGTACTAGAAAAAAATTTTTAAAATAAAAGAAAAACAAGGGGAAGAAAGTTAGGTGAAATTTTCTAAATTTACACAAAAATAAAAATTTTTAAAATTCTACATAATTTAATAGTAATAAAATAGCAATACATATTACTTCATTGAAAGAGATCCACAAAATAATAGAAGAATTTAAAGTTCCTTTTTACTTCACCATTGTTGTCATTTTCCTTTTGCTAATTTCCTTTTATTTGATCTGATATAATTCTATGCATTTGGCATGCTCTTCACAGACTTATTAATTTTGGACATGACACGGAAAGATATGGAGTTAAATATATTTGAATTGAATCTTAACGCGTTTCGTATTTGAAATATTTAAGACATAAAAATTTTCATATCTTAATGTGTTAGATAATAGTAACACCTATAATTAATTGTATTAATCATGTTTAAAAGTGTATACGTGACACATTTATCAATTTGTTGAAAATTAATAGTTAAAGATTATTTTAACTTTATTTAAATAATTTTAAATAATTATTTTAATAAGTTTTTTTAAAATTTTAATAATGTAATTATAAGGATAATTATTGATTTTAAATTTAAATAGTAAATTTTAATTTAATTATAAATATTTTAATTTATCTGTATTAAACGTATTATTAATGGTATCGTATCGTATATTGAAATGTTTAATAATAATATTAATTATGTCGTGTTGTGTTATATAGTTATTAAATATATACGTGTATATATTTTATATTTAAAATATAAACATTATTCGTGTAGTGTTTATATTTAATATTAATATATTTCATATCTAATACACATTTAAGATATAAAAACATGAATGGCTAGATCTACCCCATGCAAAAAAACCTTTTTTTTCACCTCTTCAAATTTGTCTATAAATATTTATTTCTTATGCAAAGAAACAAACCAGGGGGAGGGGCGGATGGCCTATTAGAGGGCAGAGATAGGAGAAGGTGGAATGGACCATCTCTTTGATTTGCTTTTAATGGGTGATGCTCTCTCTCTTGTCAAATCCCTATGACAAGGCATTCTTTTGTTGTTGCTAGTGGCCGAAAACCTTGAACTCATTTGTTAGCTTAATCAGTGCTTATTTGTATCCTACCAAGGTGAAAGCATGACCTGAGGGACTGCTAGCAGCAGACTTTTACAAAAGGCCTAGAGGGCTAAACTTGCACCACCCTAAACACTGAGAAGGTGCTGATTCTGAGATGACCATTCTTGAGAACAAAGCTTTTAAAGATGAGAATTGAAAACTCAAAAGGATCTTTGATTTGCTCAAAAACTTAAAAAAGGTTAAGAAGAGCAGAAGGCACGTTAATGGAGGCAGCAATTGGGGATGGTTCATCACTTTTTTCTTTCCTGGGGTTGTGTTTTTGGCTTTTGCTTCCTGCTTTGTCTTTGGGTTTTTTGCCTTCGTTTTCACTCATGCAATTTACAATATATTATGACAAGACCAACCCTACTTCGGGTTTGTAGCATTAGGTGTCAAGTGTTGTCTGAGACACTGACAGTTTCGTTACAAAAAGGGTATATTAAAATAATAAAAGTCAATGATATGACTTGGTTGACTTGGTCCTTAGTTCATTGTTTTTCCTTTGGCTGCAATCTATGTCACCTTCCACTTGGCTTTGGATTGGACCATCCATTCCCGATCTCGTTTGAATATTTTGAGGGGCACTACTTACTTTGGCATTTGGCATCCACTTTCCCTTGCAGTTTTCCCCACCAGTCCATGCTTCCTTCACCTCTTTTCTCATATCTTTAAAGAATTAAGCCAATTTATGAGAGATATGAATCCTTTCCTACTTGTTTCCTCTTAATTTGTAACCTACTTTGTTTCTATAATTTTACATAATAACAAATTTAGAATGAGATAAAAAAACAAATAATTCAATCAATACCTTTTGATATGTATTTATTAAAATAATTTGTTATAAACAATTAAAACAGTCGATAATTTGATCTATATATTGTAAACTGATGTATGACTTCATGATGTTATTGCATATGCAATTACATCATTCTTAATTACAAAAACAAGAACAATACAAAAACCAGCCCCATGGTTTCCTTGTCAATCTCAGACAATATTTTTGGGGAGAAATATTTAGCTTGATTTGGTCTCAATATGAGGTGGATTTGAGTCTAAATCCACCAACTCTTTCCCTTGCTTAGCTTCTTGTTTTCTTCACCCCTCTCTCTCTCTCCCCCACCTTTTTGGGTTATTAAAAAATTCTTGCACGAGCTCCTCATACTTCATGTGCAAGAATGAGTTGTAACTTGTAATCCCCTTTTGGCTGTACAAGAAGTGAAGGCCCCTTTTTTGCTGGAGACTATGAAGGAAAAGGGCTTTCTTTGTTTGGACTAAATAATTGATTTTGGATAGCTAGGTAGCTAAAAGCCAAATTATTGTATTCCTAAGCATGTTTGGATGATAGGGGAGGGGGTTCATCTTTCAAGGTCATACAAGTGTAGCCCCTCTATTATTTTGTCAATTGAACTATCTTCAATTTCATTTTGTAACTTGTTCATTTGGTTTTTACAACTCAACCTATTTTCCATGGAAAAGAGCAAAAGAAAAAAGGGTTGGGACAAAAAATTATTATATATACACAAATCATTAAATTCTTTTATTGTTCGAATTTGAGAGAATCAAGAACGACAATTAAATATGAATTAGATACATATTAAAATTTTCTATTTGTATGAATGGAATATGTATCGAGCATGTCATTGCATTGTTAATAGAGGAAGGATGAAAATTCTATTTACAGCAAACAAGTCTACAACCAGGCTATGGGCAGAATGGAAGACCGGAGGGCACTTACAAGCAGGACGTGATTAAAGGTATTACATGTGATGATTAGAATCAAGAAATGGAAACTCTTTCTGCCTTTGACTTGAACTGTTTTTTTGCTATTTTTTCTACAATGTGTTGACAATATGATTCCCAACTGTTGGCCTTTAGGCTTCTAAGACTAGTACACATCCCCTCCCCTTTAAAGGATCCTACAAGAATTTATGACCTAAACAGCCAGAGTCAGAATATAGCAACCTCTTCTAATCTCTATCATTGCCATTCTCTCATAGTGAAAAGGCCAAAAGAGATTGCATTTCATCTTACTATGTTAATTGAAGTAGTTGAAACTGCCCTCTCACACATAGTTGGGTTCCATCTCCCCATTCTTTCCATGGAGAAATACCTACATTCCTTGAGAATTCTAGGGTGGGAGAAGTCAAGAATTCATTAGCATATTTATCATTTTAGGGGTTGGGGGTTATCAAAGCATAGATAATGACCCTTCAGGCTTCTTAATGTTTGCACCACATGAATCTATCAGACAAAATCCACCTACATGTGGAAAAAGCATCATCATCTTCATCTTAGCTTTACCCATAAAAGCAAAGAAGGGAGAAAATTTTGAAACCCAAAATATGGAAAACAAAGGAGATGGAACTGGAATGAGAGAGAGAGAAAGAGAGTGGGAAAGGTTGGGAAGGGAGAAATATTATTAAAATGGTCCCCCAAAGTGGTTGAATTTAAGCTGTGTGATGTCAGCTTCACTTAACAGTAATGGGCTGGACAGCAAGTGTGTGGGGGGTAGACAAACAGTTGGTGGTTGCATACATTTAGCTGTTCTCTTTCTGACAAATGCCATCTCGTGGGCTTTTAACGGCAGAAGCTTTAGGCCCAACTCTTCCTCTTGTACACTTTCCAACCATGCAAATGCATGCCCCTAGCTGCTACTGTGTTATGTTGATGATGGAGGGAAACTAAAGCTTAACGTCATGAGTATCACCTTTGCCTCAAAATCTACTTAAGAAGGATAGGTCAAGCACTTATACATTTGTTAATATTATTTTTTAAAAAATTTATTAAAAATAAGAGTTAACACTAAAAACTTCAACTTAAAAATCTTGAGTTCAAATCGTAAAACAAGAAATGCGTAATTTATGATTAAGAGTTGCTTCGTCGTGTAACTTAGGTTAACAATAAACTCTACCTTACAAGCAAATAATTTTGATGAAAGAAAAATCTAGTTAAAATTAGCCAATGGTCATAAATTGATGCATAATGAGTAAAATAATGTGTAAAATGGCATCATTTTGTTGAATATAACAAAAATAAAATAAAATTCTTCGATTTTCAGTGTACCACCTAAGTTATCAATATCTTATTTTAAACAAATCGATGAAATTTGAATTGAATAAAAAAAAATGAAATTATGAGTTATTTATCATTTGTTTGAATAAGAAAATTCTTTGATTTTATTTTTTCCTTAATATTTGAACATAGAATCTTTGAACGATAAATATTTTTCTTTTCGATGCATGGAATAAATAATTTTAACAAAATTATTCAATTACGCCGCTTATTTTGTCATCTAATTTTAATTTATTTAATGTGATTAAATAAATGGTGATGGAGGTTAGTCAAATTTGATGAAATATAAAATATTATGAATAATAACATCACAAAATAATAATAAAATTCAACTTTTTACAAAAGAAAATGAGTTATTTTTAATATAAATATTTATTTTTAACTATGAAAACAAAAGAGGAAAAAAAAAGAAAAAGGAAGGAAGAAAATAGTTTTGTTGAAGCTATTTATTTATTACTTTTATTGTTGCCTATTGTTTATATATTCATAATATAATATAATAAATATATATATATATATATATATATATTTGCAATAGATAGATCCTCCACCTTTCACCTTTCACATTTCACAGTTCAATACCACAAACCCCAAAACCAACAAATCAAATCAATCTCCTTTCACTTCTCCACACAAAGACATCACCAACCCCAACTCTCTCCTCCTCCTCCTCCTCTCTCTCTCTTCCCCTCCACTCCCAAACCCATAAGCCCCTTTTCTCCCTTCCTGTTCTTCCCATTGGATCTGACTGTGTCTGCTTTGGCGTCCCTCCGACACCGTTTCCCTTTCCTTGCTTTGATCCAATCCCAGACCCAGACTTTGTTTTTGTGGTTTCTTTTTGATGGTCATTGCAAATTGAAATGGGAGTGCTCATAAAGAAAGCATGAGCAAAAATCCCATTGGTAGCAACAACAACCAAGACGACGACGATTCGACGCAAGAAGAAGAAGTGGTAGAAGTAGACGAAGAAGAGGAAGAGGAGGAGTATTTTTACGAATCCCTTGATCGCATTGCTTCTTCTAATTCTTGTTCTTGCTCTAACTCAACTTCTCCTTCTTCTGACTCCGACTCCGACCCAATTACCCGCTCCAACAATGCCCACCACCCATTTCCCGTCCCAAATCCCCATGGCCGTTTCCAAGTTCGACATCTGGATCTCGGAACCCGCCTCCGTTTCCGAAAGAAGAACACGGTTGCTCCGAGAAATGGGGCTTAGCCGTGACCCGGGTCTTTCCCGGACAAGACCTGGGTCAGAAACGGAGTTGGGTACGGGACGAGATATGGGTGGTGGTTGCGGTGGAGGAGGAGGAGGAGGGTTTGGAAGAAGATCGGTTTCGTCGGATCGGTTGGTAAAAAAAGAGTCGGAGGAGCAAGATCGTGGTGGGGAAAGGGGAAGTAGTTCTGCTGGAATTGTCCGATCAAAATCAGACGGTGATGCAAGCCGAAATGGTGATTGTAATGGTGTTGCTGTTTCTTCTTCTCCTTGTTTATCAGTTTGTTCGAATTCGTCTTCTTCGATTCTTTCTGTTGGTCTATGTGTTGTAAATAATAATAACAATAACAATAGTGAATGTGATCATATTAATGCCGCGGCTGCTAACTTAAGAAGCTGTGAAAGTAATGGATCTATATGTAATAAACCGCCCACGGGGCGGGGTAGTAAGAGTTTGAATGGGGAACTTGGTTTTAAATCATTTGGTGGTGGAGAGGTTGTTGTGGAGGATGAGTTGGATTGCAGTGAACAAGTGTGTACTATTAAGAACTTGATAATGGGAAAGAGTTTGTGGTGAATGAGATTAGAGAAGATGGGATGTGGAACAAGTTGAAGGAAGTTGAGACTGGGAGGCAGTTGACTATGGAGGAGTTCGAGATGTGTGTTGGGCATTCACCGATTGTTCAAGAGTTGATGAGGAGACAGAATGTGGAAGAGGGTAATAAGGATAATGCTGATTTGAATGTGAAGGCAGTGGTGTTGGCGTTTCAAAGTTGAAGAAGAAAGGGAGTTTGGTTTAAGAGTATAAAGAGTGTTGCGAGCAGTGTGAAGGGTCAGAAGGAAAAAGAAGTAGTGATGAGAGAGATACGTCATCAGAGAAGGGGGGGAGGAGATCGAGTTCTGCCACAGATGATAGCCAGGATGTTTCCTTTCATGGGCCGGAGAGTGTGAGGGTAAAGCAGTATGGAAAGTCGTGTAAAGAACTCACTGCTCTTTACAAGAGTCAAGAGATACAAGCGCATAATGGGTCTATTTGGAGTATTAAGTTTAGTTTGGATGGAAAATACCTCGCTAGTGCAGGTGAGGATTGCGTAATTCTTGTATGGAAGGTAGTGGAGTCAGAGAGGAAGGGGCAGTTGTTGATGGAAAAGCCTGAGGATGGGAATTTGAATTTTTTGCTTGTGGCTAATGGATCTCCAGAACCAACTCTGTTGTCCCCAAGTGCAGATCACCATCCTGAGAAGAAGAGAAGAGGAAGGTCATCTATAAGCCGAAAGTCATTGAGCCTGGATCATATTGTGGTGCCAGAGACTGTTTTTGCGCTTTCAGATAAACCTGTTTGTTCTTTTCAAGGACATTTGGATGATGTGCTTGACCTCTCCTGGTCCAAATCTCAGGTTAGTCATCATTCTTTAATCCTTTTAGGTGTTTTGAGAAATATGTACCAGTATAGAGTAATTAGTTTGATTTTCAAATTTTTAACCAGTAATGTTAGTTGGAAGAACTTTGTTAAGTGTTTCTTTATAACTTTAGAAGCCTTATAATTGATTTAAGTAAGAAGTAAATTTGGTGAAGGGACTGAAGAAATTTTATTTCTTCTGAGAAATCCATCTTTTAGTTTCCTTTGTGTTTTGAGTTTGGAGGAATCCAAGCTATGTTTCACTAGGAAGAGAATGGAGAACTTGGGCACCTGTGTGCAATGCACTTTATCAAAAGTTATTTGTGAAAGGCATATCTGATTGATGTAAATGTGAATTTCATCAAAACATAAAAACTATTGCTGCCCTGCTTGAGTGCTTGTTATTCTATGAAGAAATGAAGGGACAACACAATACTTGTCTCCATGCTTTACTTGACAAAATTATATATTTCTCCTCTTGAACTGCAAAGGATCTATGGAATATAAACATGGAGTAAATTTTTTTAAAAAAATTGGTAGGAAAACAACAAAGAGAAATTGGTGGATCTTCATGGTAAAATTTTAAAACATGTTAACCTGACTGATGCTAAGACCCTAGGTTGATTCCCGGAAACTATAAGTGATATTACTAGCTGGGTTTTCTATTTGGCATTGCCTTTTTGGATGTTTAGACTGGCTGCAAAATGACCCGCATGCATTTAGATGTCACATGACAGCAAAGAAGTAAAGCAATTTTGCAAGGCCCTACACAATAAACTAAAGTATATTCAAATTTAATCAGTTCTATGGCACATAAAGGATAATGAAGTAAAAAGTTCAATATGTGTTTATTTTGCTATGTGGCAACATGATTAGTAGCGAAAAGTTCACTTTTGGAGGGTTAGCTTTGATTAGTTTTCTATTTGTTCAAAGAATGATTTATCTGGAAAGAGGCATGATCTTTTTAATGGATTGTCTTCACCCCTTCTCTCTGATTTTGGTTAATGTCTTTGATGTTTCTGTTGATGCCTTTTTCCTTGTGAGTGATTCTGATCAAGGTTTCTGATGATACCCTTATTTACCTTGTGGACTCTTTGTGTCAAATGATCACTTTTGAGTTTGGACGTTATTAATATTGAGTTTAAAGATCAGAAATGCTGTGGTCTACCTTCACAGGTTTTATAAACTACTTCTGAATGTTAATGGCATACCATAATTAGATGGCTTAAAAGTCCTTCAAATTTTAAAGGATGCAGATGTGATGTACTCAATTGGTCAAGCCTCTATGTATTCCGTTTATATTTCTACGATGCTGTTTGAGAGGTTGTTAGTTGAACCTTTTTTCTTTATGAATTTTTGGTTCCGACTTCACCAGTTTAGCCTATTTTAGAATCATGAACCAATATGTTGCTGCAGGATATTCCAGTAAGATTTTTCTATTTGTTCTTTTCAGCAATTGCTCTCATCATCAATGGACAAAACAGTGAGGCTTTGGGACTTGAATAGCAAGACTTGTTTGAGAATATTTTCACACAGTGATTATGGTAAGTAAATTGTAAGTTTCATGTCTTTTGTTGCTTAACTTTGGAGTCTACTCTCTTAATGGCCCTGTTCAAGAACATTACTAAAATGTACTCTCATTTTTTTTCTTTTTTTTTAATAATTACCGTTCTCTATAGAAGTGATGAATAATTAGAAATTCTCCTTCTGTCTTCATAGTGACAATACCATGCTGTGTACTAGTAAAAAAAACTTAAAAGCCTGTGTAGCTATACCTTAAGTATAACTTTCTGGCTTGGAAGTGCGCATCTAGTGCGGTTAGGTTAAGTATGCTTGGTGTAGATTCAATGAAATCAGTAATCCAAAGATCCATCATAAAGAAAAATATTATTTATCTTTTGTTGTCTCTTTAAATTGGTTTACATATGGCTAATTGTGCTTTATTCCTGTGGATCTGCCTTGACACAGTAACTTGCATCCAGTTTAATCCAGTTGATGATAGATACTTCATTAGTGGATCCCTAGATGCTAAAGTCCGCATATGGAGCATTCCTGATCGTCAAGTCGTTGATTGGAATGACCTGCATGAAATGGTCACTGCTGCTTGTTATACACCTGATGGGCAGGTTGGGTGATGGTCGATACGAGTTCATTCTCTATAATATACAATGAATAAGTCTGTAGCTCATGGAATTTATATTTGTTTTGAAGGGTGCACTGGTAGGCTCATATAAAGGGAGCTGTCGTTTATATAATACTTCTGGTACAAGTTTATGATTTCTCTCTCTTGTTTTTGCATGCACACACTTCATTGTACAGTTCATTGACCACTGAAGTTTTCTTAAACATGTACATTTGTGCATCTTTTTCAGAGAACAAATTACAACCAAAAAGTCAGATCAATTTGCAGAATAAAAAGAAGAAATCTCATCAAAAGAAAATTACAGGTTTCCAGGTAATCCAGTGGTCCTGCTGCTTGATGTCCAAATATGGAAAGAAGGCGTAAATCCTTTCTCTAGTTGAATCAGAGATTCCTTACTTTAAATCTGTTGTATATTTTCTTGATGCCATGTGTCAACTTTATTCTTCTTACGTGATTACTTTCTTAAAACAGTTTTCACCTGGAAGTTCATCAGAAGTACTCATCACATCCGCAGATTCGCGAATTCGGGTTGTTGATGATGCCGATCTAATTCAAAAGTTTAAAGGTAAGAAAAGTATAAACATATGATACTTCATTTGTAGTTTCTGCCTATGCTTATCTTTGAATGTCTCAAAAGTGGTTTTCTCTTAATCTTATCACTTTATGTCACTGTTGCATCTCAATTTGATGTTTGATCATCCTGCATTTATGTGGTTGTGTTTGGCTATGCACAAGTTTGCCTAAATATTCTTAGGTAGACAATCTAAAGCCTTTATTCCTAGTTGGATTCTATGCTGCAAATCTTCCTATTAGCATCATTAATGACGCCTTCAGTGTTTAGCACGATCATGGTTTCTTCTGACTTTAAGGTCAGATAGGATGTGTATTGGTGTACAAAGTATCTTGGTCCAAAAAGCTTAATTTAGTCCTTCATCTATGTTCATATCCTAGCATGATGCTTGAATAAGTGCTGTTGTTTTTCCCTTATAGAAGTTGCTACAAGTGCTCTTGTGAAATGCACTTTGGATTGTGCAAGCTGTAGTGACAGTGGGTAAATTAATGACCTGTAATTTGCCCTTCTGAAAGGCAATATGAGAACTAAAGAATTCAGCAATAAAAGTACAGTAAACATACCTTGCTTGAGACTTCCTAGAGAAGCAAAGAAAAGTGTTTCTAGAAGCAAATTTTCCTTTTGACAGGGCTTGAGGAGATGAACTACCAAGGAAAAAAT